ATGATACATAATAAGCAAATATAAAACAGTGTTGGAAGAGCCGAAATTTGTGAAATAATGATAATAGATAATAATCTGGTAGTTAATATTAAAAAAAAAAAAATATATATATATATATATATAGTAAAAAAAAGTTACAGCATTCATGGCTAAGTTTACCTTTTTTCTTTTCCTATTCTAGTTTTTTATATATAACTGATAAGCCTACATTTTCAGGACTACAATATCCAAATAATGAATTTCTCTTGTATTGATCGCACACATTTTAACTTTACTGATAGCTTTTTGAACCTTATAATCCGAATACAGTATTCATCATGGCTTATTATTCAAACAATACCTTATTCATACGAGATTTTTTGTGAGTAAATAATTCATCACTCACACACGCGCGCGCATTCATGAGACGCTGGGCGCTTTCTCTCACGCCCAAATGTATACTAAGATGAGAGCAAACATATATATTTAAAAACAATACATACAAGTATACACACATACACACATTTAGGTACATGCTGTGATCCACCCATAGACACCAAACAGAGACAGACAACATAGACACACACATATATATATATATATATATATATATATATATATATATATATATATATATATATATATATATATATATATTATATGTTATTGTAAGCTATATAAGAGCCACACTGAAAAAATCGATATTTATACAAAAAGGTGTCAGTGCAGGTCAAGATACAGCTAAGAATGAAAGAATACAAAGTCAGCTATTTACGTAAGAAACGTTAGATGATCTTTTAATATTATCAAGAGTCGATGAAGTTACAATCTCTGAAGGCAATCAATTACAAAGTCCAAAGTTACACTCTCTCTCTCTCTCTCTCTCTCTCTCTCTCTCTCTCTCTCTCTCTCTCTCTCTCTCTCTCTCTATATATATATATATATATATATATATATATATATATATATGTGTGTGTGTGTGTGTGTGTGTGTGTGTGTGTATGTATATATATTACACACACACACACACACACACACACACACACACACACACACACACACACACACACATATATATATATATATATATATATATATATATATATATATATATATATTACATATATATATAATATATATGTATATATATACATATATATATAATATATATATATATATAATATATATATATATATATATATATAATATATATATGATATATATTATATATATATATATATATATATATATATATATATATATATATATATGTATGTATGTATCCTTATCTCATAAACAAGCACGCCCACTTGCCCGCAGCATGACTCACCCGACTTGCCGACGCCCTCGGCTCCCAGGACCACGACGCGCAGACGAGACACCTGCTGCTGCCTCGGCCGCCCCGGGGGGGACGAGGGCACCTTGGCACTCTCTTCGCCCCCGCGCATCTTGTCACCTGGGGGGAGGGAGGCGGAGGGTTAAGGTGGGGCTTCATTTTTTATCTGGCTTACACGAGGGCAGAGGCTTTCGTTAATTGTAGGCTTAGGAAGGCCGGGCGCTCGCGGGCGTGGGAAGGGAGGAGGAGTGGGTGCTGGATGGATTCTCTTATCGTCCTCCCCCTCCTCCTCTTTCCCCTTTACTAAAGAAGTGAGATGATACGTAATAAGAAAATAGAGGCAGTGCTAGAAGAGATCCTAGTAAATCTTGACAGCGTTACGATCAATGTAGGAAAGACATTATGAAATAAACATCAAGCTAAATTATCATGAAATAAACATCAGCTAAGCTCACTGCTATGGCACCATGCACGTGGAATCATTGTGAAGGGTTCCCTAATTTAAACATACAAAAAAGACAAGGCTCTTATAAGGGAATTGAACAAATACTGACGCAATTAATTAAAATCTAGGGCGATGATCGACCTTTCTTTCAAAACAACAACTTGAACTATACTCTTATGGTGAGCCTCATAAATAAAGAACAAGGTAATGACTGCAACGGCACTGCATAATTTCCCACGGCAAAACTGCGAAGGTAAGACTCGCCAGGATATATAATATTCACCTCGCCAACGCCAGACTCACGTAAAACCCATGAGACTCACCTGACTGTTGCACGGGCTGGTTCCTGCACATGAGTTCGGAAGCTGTTGACTCGCAAGCAAATCCTGCGCGTTCCCTCCTCTCTCCCGCTGGACGAGACCGCTGTCCTCAGAGAGCTTCCGCTGGAGGAGTCCGGCATCGCGTAGCGGCGATTTCAACGGTGCAGTAAGATCCTATCTATCGCTATTGGTGCTGGGGTCCGCAATGCCCCTAAAGGCTCGGGGAATATTTCACTTTTGTGCGGGGCGATTTACATAAACACAAGGACGCTTGGTCTCTCACTAATGTATAACATTAATAAAACAAATACTTATATTTTTTGTTTCACGAATGTCTATTTCAGGACCCGGAAAATCCTTCGCGATAGCCGTTGCACAACCCGTAAACAAACAATGGGCGCTCAAGATCATTTCCTGTTTGCTTTCCCAGGACTCGTGTTGGGGCGACCGGGAGCGACGACGTGGTGGCGCGTCCTCCTTCTCCGTCACTGACTTCACACTGACTTAAGGGACAGAAGGAAGGCGGCGTCGCGGGGCATGTGGTGTATTACCCAGGGTTACCCACGGGAGTTGCCGGAGGCGGGAATAACTGGGACTCCATAACAGATGCCTGGCGTGCCCTCAGCGGATATTCAGGGGGGGCTTCGCTGTTCTTAAGAAACGAGCGAGAGACAGTTCGAAATTTTTCGGAAGTTGGTTATCTATCGATTTTAAAGAGGTTTGTTTGATAACATCCAGAGATATATGGCACGTATACCCGCGCAGCCTCAGGATGTTT